TGATTTAATTTATGATTTCTCAGTCCTTTGGACAACCCAGGGAGCAAAGCTAAGTGGTGAGAAGCCACCCTGATTATGTAGGACCTTTGCCTTTTTTAATGGAGATCGATCAGTGATCAAATGTAGAGCTGAAATTATCAGGCCCCTGCAGGACTCAGATCTTTGCCACCTGAGTGGGAGGGAACGGGGATGTTTTTAAACCAGCGAGACCAAATCGATTATGAAAATGACCGATCAGCTATTCATAATCCAAGGTTCATTTTTTTCCTCTCTCTTTCTCTTTCTCACACACCTCCAACAAGGAAAAAAATTTGCCCAGTCTAAATAATCTCTCCCAAAACACACCCAATTGATTTTATAAACGTGTATAACATTTATAAAATTTTTGTTTATAACATCAGTAGGAACGAATAATCTGTCATTGCTCCAAAGGGCAGAAGATTCAATGCCACATTCCACCCTATAGTTTTTGAGGCTACAGGAAGCTCCCTAAGTAGTGGTTAAGTGGTCTGATGGACAATGTCAGGGTATGGTATTCTAGAATGGTTTGATAGTGTTTCTTTCCCTATCAGGCAAGATAAGCAATGAGTTAAAACTAGACACACTTACTTTGTCTTAAAGGCAAAAAAAGAAAGAAAAAGAAAAAGAAAGCAATAAAGGGAAAAGAAAAAAAAAAAGGAAGAAATTACCCTTCCCAAGCTAAACAAAAACTCTAGGCCTTATACTCCTGCAACCTAGATATAGTCAAAGAGATCATACAGAATGTTGCTACAGAGAAAAAGACCTCAACTCTCAGCTGTTAGGCCAACTTTTCAGCTGAGAAAACGTCTTTACAAGGGAATATTGAAACAGACATAAACAGAGGTTTATGGGATAGAAACAGTGAAAGATTTTAAACAGAACTAAACTCAGCTCTGGGGAGCTATGACCACATTATCTCAACTTCCCAATACTTGCTTGTAATAACATATAATCCAGGCTCTTCTCTTAACGCTAGTACTCTGAATTCCCGTAAGGAAATATCGCTTTTCGGAGAAGAAAAAAATCAAACACATCTTCCTGTATAGTCAATGAGAGGTGAAGCAGAGGGGGAGGTGGAAGAAAAATAGGGTCAAAAGGGTCACAGGCTTTTCAACTGTTTTACCCAATGTAATAAATACCTCCTAATGCAGAAACTGAAGATATGAAACTAAGAAGACTTTATTTAGATGGTTGCCCTGAGCTGAATTCTGTACATATCTTCACTATGAAGATAGCATGTTTTCAACTCTAGCTTGCAGGATGTTCTAAATAATGAATGATGTAAATTAGACCACCTTATTTATTAAAAAGTCCAGTGTCTTATGTAACAACACTCAAAATTTAATTCTGTGATTCTTAAATGCATGGAAGGCACGATCCAAAGTTCTAGAACCCCCAGTGCAGGGGCTGAGAAGTATATATCAGAGCAATAAAATCTTATGCCTTTCACTCAATCCTTCTGAATAACAGGATTTCATTTTTCTAAGTACAATTAATTGCAGTGAAAAGCTTACTAAGAAGAGAGGGCCAAAATCAAAGTATTAATGACATAACATTACAGCCACTTTACCAAGCCAACAATAATCTACACGTATGACACTGGCAGCAGAAGCTGCAAATTCTTTTGATGTTGTACTAAGAGGAAAAATATTAGACTTATCTCCAAATATTACCCCTACATCAGAGAACATCACCCAAGAAATTCAAAATATAGGTCATTATGTATCTTCATAAAACAGGCCATATAAAAATGCATGCCTTTCCACACCAGTGAATAGACTTAACACTGCTGAACAATAGGCTTAAAAATAGTTAAGATAGTAAATTTTATGTTATGTGATTTTGACCACAAAAAAAAAGCATGACCTATTTTAACCATGCCTTTTACCACTAGGGTGATACAGAACTTGGGCTTTGCAATGCATTCTGGCACTTGAGACAATGGAGACATTTAAATGGCTGTTTGCATAATTCAACAACCCTGGCCTTACTCTTGAATTCCATTTATATGTGACAATAGTATTACTTTTAAATTTAAATTAGCACAGGTATAACCATCTCCAAATAACAAGATGGCACTTACCAGCAGTGTGATGTATATCTACAGACAGATAGGTCTACCTAGAGCACACTAGTAGGTAGAGTAGGAGACAGGTACTGTGACAGGAAGATTTTTTTAATAAAACAGGCACAAACAATGACTCAGAAAACAAAACATCAGCTTGGCTTGCAATATGCATGTAGAAGCAAAAAATAACATCCTATCTCTTAATTAATCTGTACATATATCTTAGAAATGTTCTACCATGGGCTCTCTCTGAACCCTCAAAGGCACAGTGATTGTAACTTTCCCCTCAATATAAAGACATCAACAGATAAGCCATTGTTAAATGTACAGTAAACTGTTGCTTCAGCAAGTTCTAATTATAGTTTATTTACTTACATCATTCCCATTTAAAAAAAACAGAAACACGCAATTTCAGCTGAACCCCATTAAACCAGAACTTTAACATAGGTTATTTTAGGAATACCATTGGGTCTAATGACAAAGTTCAAAAAAACAAACAAATGTGTAATTTGGTTCCAACTGTAGATGGTATCCACTGGCCAAGAATCTAAAAGCTGTTCAAGCAAATATTAATATGTAAGAAAAAGACCACAGATGGTGTCATACACGGATGAAAGTGAAACAGGCTCAGCCACTGATGTCATTTTGATATCGAAACAGCAGAATTCAAAATAATTACACGAAGTGCTTTCCAAACAAGAATTTTGATACGTTTTGCAGATAAAGTCACTGTGGCTCCCACTAGCTCAAACAAAGCTGAGGGACAGAGCAGAGAAAACTATCTTTTCCCAAAGCTCACCTATACTAGCCTGACAAGCATTATTACCTGAATCCTTCACCCTGAACCCTGAACCTACACCCCTCTCTCTCTCTTGCTCAATGGATTCTCAAATCAAAAGAAAAAAAAAAAGAGTAGAAATTAGGAGGTCATTATATTGAATGAATAACCATTAATAAATGCTTTGGTAAAGATTATTTTTTTAAATCAGCTTTCAGAAGCCTGAAAATAGGAAGATGCCATCAGATATAAAAGAAACATAACAACAGCAATTTTGAGAACTTGTATAAGAAAGCTCTGCTCAGATCTACTGATTTCATATACATCAGGCAGCTTAGACCACTGGGTTTAAAATAATATTTCTTAAACTTGATAGAGTCTTGCTTTCTTTATCTCTCATTATGACCTTAAAAATAGTAACGTGAAAAAAAATATTAAAATGAAATGATGGGCCCTATCTCATTTCCTCCTTGCTTATAGATAGATCTATCACCTAACATAGAATTTAAAAACCACATGTGACTGTATACAGGCACTCCCCATGGTCTGAAAGGCTCTGAATTCCATATGGCTTCTTCCATCTGACTGCTGAGTACCCCATCTTATGAAAAAGACACAGAGCCTGAGGAAAGGCCACAGACACTTTGACCAGCCTGGAAAGTCTGGACAAACCCCCATCCCCAGGGCCAGCATAGGTGGGACTTTACCCACCTTTCCTCTCCAGCCCTGCCTGCTGCCAGCCTTGCCGAAAGGCTGAGACCCGATCATCCTGGATCCAGCCTGACAGTTGGCTGCTTGCTCCTGGCACAGCTCAGCTCTGCTAGGCCTGCACGTTCCCCTCTGTTCTGTTACCATTTCCTTTGCTATCTAAAGCTTACAAAACCAGCATCACCAGAACAAACATCTGGACTAAAAAAGGCCTCTTACTTACATTCAAAAACAGGTTAGATCGCTCAACTACGTTGGCAGAAGCAGAGTGTGCGTTCTCTGTGAAGGAAAACATGCATGCGCATTCGCCAACCGGAAGGCCACAGCCCAAGCCCTACTTTGAAAGCTGCCTACCTTAGTATCAAGCTCTGTAAGAACAACCAGGGGAAACTTTGTCTTACAAACCTTTGCACAGATGAACAAAATTGCATGTTAATGCAATGGCAAAGTCTCTAGGGACCAACAAAACCCCTCTAGTAGAGGTGGCAGGGAAATGCAGGAGATGGTGAATTCCTACTTAGTAATGTATTTGTCACAAGGCATCAGAAGAGGACAGAAATACACAATTCTGCATCTCCATCAGACCAGGACAAGCTCAAACACTTGCAGGGACATAGGAGTCCCATGTGAAAGGCAGCATTCATCAGAGCACTCACTACACACCACTTTATCATCCAACCTAGCCTTGGGAAATTAGTCAATGGGCAATTACGATTTATAATCCAAATGGTCTCAAAATGATATCTCTGGAAAGTCAAGTCCAAATTAAATCAGAACAAGCTTTTAGGCTTCCCACGATCACATTTTCTCTTTTGAGCAAGTGCATTTCTACACTCAGAACTTCTCCTCTTACAGATCATTTTCAAGGCCATCGCTGAATACAATCTCCTAAGCAAACTCTGATCAATCAAATGAAAAGGGAAATTGGTGAACTCCAAGTCTCAGAGAAAGACGTTAAGGGGAAGGCTCTAAACTCCTCCAACAGATTTCCAAAAGTTAATTATCTTTACCTCCTTTCTAGTAAATATTTGGAACTTCTAGCACAACATACAGGTAGCACCTTATGAAACCAAAATGCCTGGAACTGTGTTACTGTGTAAGGAAAACCTAAAGCACACCCAGCAGGGCTTTGAAATACAAAGTGAGTATGAAATCCCTTCCCACAAGAAATAGATATATTTACATTAGTGACATATATATTTAAGACTAAAAACTATCACACTTATTCCCTCATTAGCAACCCTCCAGCCACTGAAACAGACAGGTAACTCAGGTAACTGACAGATGGCCCAGCCCTGCATCTCTCATCTCTGACTTCTGCTCACACTTGAGACAACATTCATGCCCAGGACAGACCGCCTGGCTAGCCCTGGACCTAGGGCCTGGGAGAGAGGAGGAGGAGGAGGAAGAGCACCAGGAACTCACATTTCGGTGATGTTCTCAGGGTCTGCACTGTTAGGCTCCAATCTCGGAAATGCCACGATGCCGGGAAAAGGGTCGCTGCACCAGATCCGAGAGGCGCTGCATTTGCAGGACGTGGGACAGGCGAGAGCAGCCCTCCAGAAGCCTACAACCAACCAGCAGAAACCCCAGAGCAGGGCCATGGCGGGTCCATGCCTCCTCGTCCAGGACGACATCCCTAGCCGCCAGCGCCAACAGGAGTCAGGCTGAGTACGTGCACCGCGCTGCCCCGGCTGGCCTCCCTGGCCCGTGCTGGGCGGCCTTTGCTGCGCTCGCCGCTTGCCCTACTCGATGCTTGTCGAGGGCGCGCAGAGCCAAGCGTGTCCCGGACTGAGCGTGTCCTGGCGGGCGGCTGTTCACAGTGGCCGGGGCATCTCCCGCCGCCTCACAGGGGGCGCTACCGCCACTCGGAGCTCCGCTGCGGCCGCCGCTGCATGGCCCGGAGCGCCGGGCACCGGCCGGCGGCGCTGCCGGGACTCTCTCGGACGCAGACTCCCTGCCACACGCGCGCTGGGATCCGGGACGTACCTCGAGGCTGGGGACAAACAGACACACTGAACGCCGGACTCCACACACCACGAATTGGGGACTCTCCCTCCGCACTCGCGTCACCCCCACCCCGACCCCAGCCGGGAGACTGTGGATGGATGAGTATCTAGCTCCAGCCCCAGAAATAAACTTGCCCCTCGATGGCACTGACTCTGCCGGGGCCACCACGGTCCCCACCCTCTCTCCAAGCCCGAGGTTGAGGGAGGGGAGATAAGGCAAGGATTCCCGAGGCAAGAATCCATGGCACAGGCCAGGCGAAGGACCCTTTAAAGGGAGACGCTGGGACGGCTGGCGGCGATGGCTCCGCGACGGGGCCCCCAATGATGCTGCAGATTCCGCCACGGCCGCTGGGCGCAGGGGGCGCGCGGGCAGGTGGCGCGGTGCGTCCTAACTGGGAGCCACCACAACCACCCCAGGAGGACAGTGAGGGCCGAGACGACGGAGGGCACTGTCCGCGCTGCTCACCCGGGCTCCGGCGCCTCCCGCCCGCCGGCGGCGCCTGCTCCAGGCTCCTCCTGCCGCTGGGCACTGAGCGCCGAGAGCGCGAGCGGAGGAGCGACCGAGGCTCCTGCTCCAGCCCAATTCCGGGAGCCGCCGCCGCCGCCGCCGCCTCTGCTACTGCTGGCGAAGTGACGTGAAGGCTGACGCAGAGCAGGGGCAGAAACTCCAGAAAATTAGTCTGAAATCCAAAAACACACACGCTCATACACACACAAACCCATAACACCCTCCAGACAAAAGCGACGCGGAGGGGAGGGGAATCTGGGGGCGAGCGGGGAGGAGGAAGGCATCGGTGCCACTGGCCAGAAGCAGACAGCAGCAGCATGTGGGAGTCCATACACGCGCACACACGCACACATCCTGGCCTCGTAGACGCGTGCCTGTGTGTGTGTGTGTGTGTGTGTGTGTGTGTGTGTGTGTGTGCGCGCGCGCGCGCGCGCGCGCGCGCGTGCGTGCATTTAGATCTAGGTACCTCTGACATGGACCGTTCCGCCGCTCGACGCCTCCCAGTCCCTAGTTCACACAGCGGTCTCTTCTACAATCGCAGCAGAGGCCGTCTGCTCTTTTGAAATGAAAACAGGCCCGGTTCAGCTCTGAAAAATGCGCTGATGCTTATTATAGGAATCCTCCCTCCCTTCTCCCTCCCCGCTGCGTTCTCCTTTCCCATCCTGCCTAAAAGGGAGGACGAGCTATCCTAAAAATAAATAAATATTGTACACACCAAAACGTGCTAGGCATTGGTAACCAAGGATAACCGCCCCCATTCCGGGCCATCTATTTGGGGATCCGTGGTTTTGGAGGGTCTTCCTGTTGGTACTGGTGCTTTTGAAAAGGGAGGGCAGTCTCCAAACGTAACTCTAACTCTCTAAGTGGGTCTTTTTCCTGCCTTTTTCTGGCATCACACGCCTGGGAAACAGAGACATGTGAGGGGAAGGGAGCGCGCCTGACGCGTGTTGGGTTCCCGAAATGCGCGGCAGCAGCCGTGGCCTGTCCGATGTGTGGCGCCGCGTCATTTTCTCTCATTCTTCAATCTGGCAGGACGCAGCCATTCCCAGATCGTAGCTTGGCTCCCCGCGATGCCCACCCCCACGCGGGGCACCCCGAGCCCTTGCTCCCCTGTCGTACCTTGCGCGTTTTCTTGTGTGCGCGGGTGTGCGCGAACGCGTGCCCTGCGCCCGCGCTGCCCCGAGCACGACATGCATCCAGCTATCGAGAAACCCGGCGCGGGCAGTTTCTCCGGGTCTCACTAGGGACAAACAAGTCGATCCGGGAGCACCCGGTGACAAACCTTAACTGCTCTGATAGCGCAGTTAAATGATGGCTGCGGGGCATTCGCAAGCCTTGTCTGAGCATCCGTCTTCCCATCTGAGGCTCGGAGACTCCGTTTTTCCGCAGTCATTTAAAAGGGAACTGAGAAAATGCACCGCAGTGCCTGACACTTCCGAGGGCTCTGGTGCCCCCGCGCGGGGAGAGTGCGCTCCGCAAGCTCGCTCGCAAGCTCGCAAACTGGAGAGCATGAACCCGCGGCCGCCACGGCGACGGGGACTACGCCGGGGCCGCGCTCCGGCGCCAGATGCGCAACCACCTGAGCCCAACTCGCGCGCGCCCCTATCCCGCCTCGCCGCCCAGCACCAGTTGTGGGAAAAAGGCAGGCAGCTCCTGCGCGAGAAAGGGTGGCGGGATGGGGTCGCGCGTCCCAAAGACAAGAAGGGTCAGGGATCTGCCTGCAGAGATTGGGAGTGGGAAGGATCAAGAAACCCGAACGTCAAGGTGAATGCTTGGATCTTGGCGAAGCCCTAAATATTACAAGGGAAGCGAAAGTATCTGGAGGGGCTTTTGTACAGACCTCAGGCGCTGAGTGAAACCGCGGGAAACCTCTCACAGCACCCAAAATTCTAGCGGCAGGGCGGGAAGACAAGGCCAGCCTCACCACTATCCCTCGGCTGGAACGTGCACCGGGTGACAACGAAAGGCCAAGCTAAAGTTCATTTCCCTGCTCTACCCCATTCCCTGCTGGGAGAGAACATACCAAGGGAAGGAAGCCAAGGGAAAAAACGTTTTGGTCCAGGTCACACAGAAGCACCTGCCGCCTGTCTTGCCAGTGTCCTTAACGGAGATGCCCCTGCGGAACACCTGGAGGAGAAATGTGTGCATAAGTTCCCACATCTCTCACACCTCACCCTCACCCCATATTGCTCAGAAATGGCCCATTATTGCCCTAGTGGCTGCCAAGTGTCAATGCAGCTAAAGGACCTATGGTTTTAGAGAGGTTTGCAGACCAGGATATTCTAATTACGTAGAAATAGTTTAAGAATTTGTATTATAATAGAATTTGTATATAACATACTAATATTATGTTTAGATTACAATACAGGCCACTTAATATCTCCCATTTAAAATTGGAAGTGGCAGCCCAACTTCTGATCGCCCTTAGCCTACTGTTTTTTCCACAGTACTTACTGTTTTTAGCAGATCATTTACTTATTTGTTATATTTATTGCTTACTGTATTTCTCCCAGTCGAATGTAAATTCCATGAAGGCAGGGATCTTTATTTTGTTCAGATATATCTCAAGGACATAGTAGGTACTAAAATACATGTGCATGTTTAATGAATAAATAAAATGAAGTTGGGATTGTTTAAATAGACCCTCTACATTCTCGTTTTCTTAACCTCTAACTCTGCAAGTCCTTCTGAACAATTTCCCCTAGACAGTCTCCCTCCCATTGCTAAACCTTTCCTGTGCTGGAGTTCTCATAGCACTTCTAAAAGCCTTACTGCCTCCTCTGATATGCAGGTATGTTCTAGCCCTGGGCCAGGGAGAGCCTCCTTGTCATTCATGCTGTTAACTCATCATGCACAGTACTTGGACACACTAGGCAATCAACAACCACTTCTTAACTGATAAAATTATGGATCTATCTCAATTTTAAGACCTACAAGATATTTCACAGACATTATGTCAAGGATTCTCAGACCACAGCTTTGTAGAGATGATGAATATTTTTCAGATAGCAAAATGAAATGGAGATAACTTTCCCCAGGTCATATGAAATCTTCAAGGCAAAGATGGAGACTACCTATTGCAAATTCCTGCCTGCACTGGAATATGATCTACCTAGAACTGTAATTTTCAAACTATTTTGACCATGACCCTGAGTAAGAAATGCCTTTTATATCACAATCCAGTGCACGCATACATATAAGCATATAACTTTAAAAATATTTCACAAAACTTAATTACTCTTAAAACATGGAATACACTAATACTTTATTTTTTATTTTATACCATTTCATTTTTTAATGCTTTTAATAACCCAATACATTGATTTTAACATCCAATACTAGAAAACAAAAATACTGCTAACTTCTGCTTCTAAGATGGAATAAGAAGGAACAGATATAATCTCTACCAAAATCATCCACACATTGAACCAAATATAGGAAACAACAATTTTCAGGACAGTGCACATAAAATAATGAAGACTGTGGCTCAGGGGGAGAGAACTCAGGGAGAGTCCTAGCTCCCTGAGTTGAGGAGCCATAGCTTTAGGGTCCAGGAAAATCAAGTAAGGCAGAGTTCACACGGACAGAGTTGCAGGGAAGGTGGTATTGTACAGAGAGGGAGCCCCAGAGTTCTGCAGGGAGTCACTCCCAAGTATGCAGCAGTGTACTGATTAGCGCATAGAGGAGATGAAGCTATCTAAAGCAGAGAAAGAAGCCCTGAAAGGATTAAAGGGAACAGGGTCAAAGAAACTTTCAAAAAGGAAAACTGAAAACTACATATCAGAATTTGTGTCTATATATCAATTACATCTCAATAATCTGGAGAAAAAAAATTGTAAAAAAATTTTTTTAAGGGAATGAAAAGAAAAGCCACAAAATGGAAGACATATTTGCCAATCACATATCTAATAAAAGGTTTTCCCAGAGCTTATTAGAAAGAACTCTGTAAACTCAATAATAATAGTAAGCAAGTTTAAAAGTATGCAAATGATTTGAACATGTAGCTTATAAAAGAAGGTGTACAGATGATAAATAAACCCATGAAAAGATACCCAACATCATGACTCAGTGGGAAAATGCAAATGAAAACTACAATGAGATATCTACACATGAAAGGAAATGGCTAAAATTTAAAAGACTTCCTGTACAAAGTGTTGTCAAGAATGTAGAGCAACTGAAACTCTCATACACTGCTGGTAGGAATGTAAAATGGCTCAACCACTTTGAAAAAGTAGAACAATTTCCTAGAAAGCAAAGCATATACCTACCATGTGATCAAGCCTTTCCACTTCTATGTATAAGAGAAATAAAATCACATGTCCATACAAAGACTAGTATGCATGTGTTCATAGCAGCCTTATTTGAGTAGACAACAAAATGGAAACACTGCAAATACTGATCAACAGGTGAATGAGTAAACAAATTGGCATTCTAATACAATGAAATGCTACTCAGCAATGAAAAGCAATAACTATTGATACCTACAACCACATGGATGAATCTCAAAATAACTGAGTGAAAGAAGCCAGACAAAAAAGAGTATGTACTGTATGATACCATTTTTAACAACCTATAGACAATGCAAACTATTGTGACAGCAAGCACATCAGTGATTGCTGGGGGGATGTGAGGAGTGGGCAGGGAGGGGTTGGAAGGAGCCATGACACAGGGGCACAGGGAAGTTTGAGGATGATGGATGCATTCATTATTATCTTGATTGTGGTACTGGTTTCAATACTGTCAAATTGTGTGTTTAAATATGTTTAGTCTATGTTGATTATATCTCCATAAAGCTATTTGTAAAAGCAAGAAATAAACACTGCCCTAGATCTTCCCATAATCAGCTTCTTGTTCCATTGGAGGGCCATCAGAATCTTCCACTTCAGGCTATTATAAAGTTTGGAGATCTTTTAATAAACTCAGATTCTATAATGTTCTGATTATAAAGGGACCTACTATGTAATACCTTTGAGATTTTAGAAAAAGTCTGGGGAAACCATCATTCAAAAGATAGAAGAGATAATGGCCCACACCTAGAAATAGCTTGAATGTCTACTAATAGTAGAACAATTCAAAAAGTTATGATACTTTCACTTTTTATAATATTATGTACCTAATTAAAATGAGTTATTACTATATACATTGACTTGATGGCATGTCCACATTATATTAAGTGAATAATGCAAGTTACATGACTTACAGGGTGGTTAGTTACTTATACCACATCTGTGACTGTGTTTGATAAAAGTTTTATCCTCTTTGTCCAGCTTAATAAATCTGTCATCTTCAGACTCTAGCTGCCAGCTATTAAACAACATGTAACCTGATCCTACAGAGAAAGCCAATATTTATGAATATATTTTGTTGGTGTGTGCATATGGAGAAAAGCAGGGAAATATTTATACCAAATGCAACATCAATAACCTGGAGGGCTTGGAGAGGTTGTTTGGAGAGAAATGTTTCTCTGGCACTAATAACCTCCTTACTCATAACATGCCTTTATTTTCAGCTTTTCCTCTTTTTGTTGCCTTTTCCCCTCAGTATCCTATGTCTGGAGTCCCACCCTTTAGTGGAAAGAACTGAGTCTAAAAGCATGTTCGCAATTTAAATAATGTTCACCACTGGATGTTTCACTTTCCCAAAATATCTGTATGATAGTATGAGAACTCGGGAGAAGACACAATCCAAAGGAATTTCATGTCCCATGGCACCCATAAGTGGGAAAGTACTTGAGGATGGAGGACCCTCAACACCGGCCATTTTGGTACCTGAGGCTACTATTCAGTGATTAGCCCTTTACTTGCTCCTTCTCATTCCAATCAACTCGTATGTCATTCAGAGAGTTTCCCATGTTTCCTGCCTCACACCCTCCAGCTCTGAATGAGGTTCTCACTGTTCCTCACCTCTGCCCAGACAGTCTGAACTGCATGCTGCCCTGGCACTCTGATCGTAGCCACACCCATGGTCTCTTCCACTTCCTTTCTTCCCTGGGTCCAAACCTTCCACTTCTAACTCTTAGTCATACATTAGCCCCAAAAGGAAGGGTGTACAGGGACAATTTGACAGAGCCTTAGCAAATTGGAGTCATATATAACTGGGTGACCCTGAAATCTAATACTGAATCATCTATCTGTCTAAGTCTCATGGCAAACCTGGATTGTTTTCCTAATCTATGTCAACAGTCTTATATCAATACCCATACCTGCTCCTGTGTTCAATTTTATTAAGAGCTATCATATTATGTTACCAAAGAACTCCATTTTTTTACAAGGGAGTTAACTTATTCTGAATTTAAAATTATGGTATGCCTTTTCTGTGCCACCCAGCCTAGATTTATTGGGGCAGTCAAGTGGTCCTTGTTCCAA